ATCCTCTTGTTAATCTATCTAGCTATTATGTCCCATTGGTGCTGAGACTGACCTTCAAGAGCCACTTGTGTTCTGTAACTCCCTTTCTCTTGAACACCTCCATCAACTCTCAAAAGATGTTCTTTAAGAAAAAAAAATAGAAATAAATAAAGTGATCTTATGTTACTTGTTAGGAGAACGTGCCAAACACATCAATTCTCAACCGGTGTCCCAACGGCCCCTGAGTTATTCTTGTGTAAATGCTATAAAAGCAGTGTAAATAAATTTGACGGGGAACCTGGCATCTTTACTCAGCTTAAGCAATGCAAACGAAGAAGTGTCTAGTTAAATACTAATTCTGCATGCAATAATTTTGCTTGAAACTTTAAAGGGTTTTATTTGCAAACAAGAAGGATCAGCTAAGAATGAATATCCCAAAGGTGCTTTTCAAAAGGCAACTAGACTTTCTTGGTTTTTTTCCCTTGAAAATATTTCGCTTTTCATCCATGAAGCTTCTTCAATTCCTCAGTTGCCTTTTGAAAAACACCTTTGGGACAACCATGACCTGGAATAATTAAGAATCTCCATAGATCAGAGGTAGGCAACCTTGGCTCTTTTATGACTCGTGGACTTCAACTCCCAGAATTCCTGAGCCAGCGTGGCTCAGCTTGGAAACCTCTCCTTTTCCCCTCAGCATGGCTGGCTCAGGAATTCTGGGAGTTGAAGTCCACGAGTCATAAAAGAGCCAAGGTTGCCTACCCCTGCCATAGACATTAAGGATGAATACATTAATAGATATGTTAAGCCATATTGGGTGAGGCAAATGCATTAAATATCAAGATTGTAAACAAAAATATAATAAACCAAAAATTAGCTTTCTGTCCCTCAATTCACGGCATGCTTGCTTAGCTTAACTTTCCCACCCACCAGAATTCTCAGGCAGTACCCATGAGGACTAAAAGTTTTTTTTCCTTTTTGTAGGTAATGAATTTTCAAAGTTGCTCAGGATATTATTATAAGAATAATACATTACTATAATGATTGAAGAAATACAGCAGAAAAAAACTAATTGCGCTTAATCAAATCGTAACAACGAAGAATTTACTTTCCCTACTTGTTTTAAAAAAGAGTTCCTGAAATGCTCAATTCTGCATTTTAAGGGATCAGTACAAAATAAAAATAAAAATGAGAAAACCCCTCACAAGTGTCTTATGTCTGGTAGAGTTAAGACTGTTGTGTCCTTGGAATGTTTCTTCTGCTGTGATCCAATTTTATTCCCCCTCAGGTTCAGCCTGGATGCCTCAGAGCTAGGGAGTGACACAGAAAGGGAGGAAGAAAAGGAGAAGAGTCTCCCTGATTTCTCCCCACCTCTGTCTTGGTCAGGACTAGAAACTTGGCATGGTAGCGGTGTGATCAAAGTGGAGGCTGAGCCTTTGTGCCAAAACGTGGGCCTGGTGGAAAAGCCTGGGAATGTGGTGAGTCTTGGCTGTTTTGTTGGCTGCCCTGCATTATGGAGTGGATGTGGCACCCACCTAACTTGGCGGTGAGAGCATGGCCAGATTAGCGGCTTGCTTCAGTCAGCTGCTTCAAGCGCCTCCCCGTCCTCTAAAAAAAACCCCAGAAAGCTAGTTAAGCCCATGGCCTGAGGCTTTACCAAACTATACTAAATATATACTAAACATATAAGGAAAGGTTGCTGGAATTGGGTATGTCTAGTTTAAGGAAGAGAAGGACGAGGGGGGACATGATAGCAGTGTTCCAATATCTCAGGGGCTGCCACAAAGAAGAGGGAGTCAAGCTATTCTCCAAGGCGCCTGAAGGCAGTTCAAGAAGCAACGGGTGGAAACTAATCAAGGAGAGAAACAACCTAGTACTAAGGAGAAACTTCCTGACAGTTAGAACAATTAACCCAGTGGAACAACCTGCCTCCAGAAATGGTGAATGCTCCAACACTGGAAGTTTTTAAGAAGAGACGGGACAGCCATTTGTCTGAAATGGTATAGGGTTTCCTGCCTAAGCAGGGGGTTGGACTAGATGACCTCCAAGGTCCCTTCCAACTTTATCATCATCATCATCATCATCATCATCATCATCATCATTATTATTATTATTATTTATGTGTATGAGATAACTCAGATCTGGTAACATAGCCATCAAAAGAAGATACTAAAACTTAATGCAAAAAGTCCCAGGTATAATCTTCTGCATCTCCAAATAAGGATTAGTTAGCAAGTAACAACGGTCCTTTTGCCTGTCTGATATGTAAAAGTGCTGTCAGTGGAAAAGGCAATCCAGGCTAAGTAGATCAACGTCCTAATCTGTGAAACAGTCAGTAATTTATTTTTGAATTGGGACCTCATTTTCTCCCAGCATTAGGAAGTTGTAGGGTGGTACAAAATAAAACAGAACAACTAACACCCCCCCTTGCAACAACACAATATTATAAACCAGGGGTAGGCAACCTTGGCTCTTTTATGACTCGTGGACTTCAACTCCCAGAATTCCTGAGCCAGCCATGCTGGCTCAGGAATTCTGGGAGTTGAAGTCCACGAGTCATAAAAGAGCCAAGGTTGCCTACTCCTGTTATAAACCAATCCAATCAGACCTCAGTATTTTTAACATAAAAGCAACCAGTCAACACTGATGCATTTAAAACAATACCCTGAAACAGAACTGAGTATATATAATTTAAAGCTATTGTTAATCTGGAAGTGTCCACTAAATTTGAGTAAGGTGGGACAATCAACTCCTCTGTTAAGTAAAAAGGTATGTAAACTTCTTTTAAAGGTCATCAAATTTTCACAACTATGAAAAGAACTGATTTTAGAGTTGTGGGATCAGGTCCTTCAAGGTGTGGAACCTGGAAATGAAAACCAAAGGCAGGGATGTCCTGTTCTAGGGCCTGGAGGCTGTGGGGGGTCTGGATGGGAAAAACAGGCTTCAATTGAACCTAGCAAGACTGAATGGCTTTGGGTGTTGGGGGGTCTTCTAAAATCCGGGGCTTCACCATATTTGGTACTGGATGGGGCCCCAAACAGATCCTGTATACAATCTGGAGGTCCTTCTGGACTTACAACTCAAGAAGCAGGTGGCAATCAGGGCCAATCTTGCCTTGTAGATCAGCTGGGCCTGTTCCTGGATCACGAGGCTCTGCTCACAGTTATCTCCTCCTTCGGAGTCCCCCTAGAATCGATGCTATAAGTCAGGGGTCTTCAAATGTGACCCTTACGCTGGCTGAGGAATTCTGGGAGTTGAAGTCCACAAGTCATAAAAGGGCCAAGTTTGAAGACTCCTGCTATAAGTGGGCATCAAGCGAACACTTGCATCCCTGAGAGTGGAATCAATAAATGGATGAAAGGTCAGCTGGTCTTCAAAGATGGCAGGGGGAGGTAACTGGGGAAACCTGGAAGCCCGGAAGATAATTTCGGAGAAAGGATTGGAGGATTTAAAATTGTAAAATAGGTCTGTTAAACTTTGCAGAGGTTTAACACACCTATTTTTCACCGTTTTTAGGCAACAAACTGGAAACTGTGCTGCCCAAAAAAAATAAATGATGGTTTGCTGCTAAATCTGAGGTGTGTTCTAATAGCTGCCAAATGGGGGCTGCCTCCTCTTGTGCTAAAAGAACGAAGTGGAACAGAGTGTCCCAGGGTTTAATGACCACATTAGCGTTACATCATCTTAAGCAAAGAAGGGGCCAGGGGCTGACTGTGGTGGAGATCATGAACTATTCATGTTCACATTCCAAGTTAAGCTAAAGAAGAAAGCCAGCCAGTTTCCACAATATGAGCCTGACCATATCTTGACCCACCATTTTCAAGGAGAACATCACAAATCACTTTGAAATCCTGAAACCCATTGATCAAGAAACAGTGGGATTGTGGGATTCGATTAAGAAAGTTGCTATGAGAAGAGACTGCCAAAGACCAAGAAAAAGAAGAAAACAAACTGGTGTGTTAGAACAGAGGGTGAAAATTACTAAAGAGGACTAAGCCAGAGCAAAGAAAGACGAAGTTCTCAGGAAGGAGTTTGACCAAAAATATTAAGAGAGCTGTTAGAAGAGGCAAAAAAGCAGTATGACAACATGTGTAGAGAAGGTCTCTGAACGTAGAAGATTTCAACCTGAAATTTGTATGTTAAAGGACACCAGTGGACAGATTCCAAGAAGAGAAAACAAAGATAGAAGGAATATACTGAAATCCTGTCCAGTGGAAATGTCAATTTTGTAAGATACCTTAGAAAACATCCCTTATTTACAAGAAGCTCTAGCACAAGGGTCTTCAAACTTGGCCCTTTTTATGACTTGTGGACTTCAACTCCCAGAATTCCTTAGCCAGGCACGCTGGCTGAGGAATTCTGGGAGTTGAAGTCCACAAGCCATAAAAGGGCCAAGTTTGAAGACCCCTGCTCTAGCATTATAAGATGAAGTTAGATCAGCACTCTGGTCATTGCCAAATTAGAAAGCTACAGGAATGGCAGAGCAGCTGCAGAAATATAGCAAGAAACAGAAGGTGAATCCATAAAGATTCTAACTAAACTCCAAACCAATTTGCAGAATGGCACAGTGGAAGAAGTCAATCTACACATCAATATCAAAGAAAGGAGAGTTAAGAGGGTGTGCAAACACTCCTACCATTTCACTTGCTCGCAAAATAATGCTTAGGATAATCCAGTGCAGATTGGAACCCCACGTCATGGAAACGGGGACACCATATATCCAAGTTGGCTTTAGAGAAGGCTGACATTATTGTTAATGCACCTGGTTAATTGAGAAAAATCGAAGAATACCAAAAATTCATTCCAGTAGGCTCCTAATACCGATTGCAGGGGGAACATGAGGAAAAACAAAATGTACAGTATTTCTTTAGGTTCTCTCTGTGGGCTTCCCATTTAGATAGTTCCATGGTGGGAACAGGGCGATGGGCTGAATAGGTTTAGCCACACTCTTACTATGTTCTTAATGAAAACTTGTTCAAGGTTAAAGAGAGCAGGGCTAATGGGTTGCTCTCTCTCTCTTTTAGGATAGTGACAACAGTGGGAAGCGGCTGAGGTCCACCCCTGTCTCATGTTCCTGTAATGGTAATGTCCCCTCTCAACATGTATCCCAAAGCCTGGATGTCCCACTTCCAATCTCACTGGGTTAGTAGCCCTCTTTGGTTGCTAGTTAACAGGTTTTCTGGAAAAGAGGGATGCTATCAGACGCAAACACATATGATGGGAATATTGCTCTTGATCTAACACTTTCTAACAGAAGGACATCTTTTAACCCAGAGCTGTCAATCTTAGGACAGGATCGATGGACTTCTAGAAATGATTAAGCCAGTGATGGCAAACCTTTTAGAGACTGAGTGCCCAAACTGCAACCCAAAACCCACTTATGCATCGTCGAGTGCCGGGTGGGTGTGGCCCATTGGGTGGGTGTGGCCCATTGGGTGGTCATGGCCAATTGGGTGGGCGTGGCTGCGGTGGTAACGGCAGACTGGGTGGGATTAAAAAGTTCAATCAATTTCAACTTTGCAAGATTTTTTTTTTCCCGTGAAAAGTTGAAATTGACTGATTGAACCTTTTTTTTTTTTGTACACGGCGACGGAGGCCTAAAGCGAAAAGGTTTTATAAAACCCAGCTGAAGGCCTAGGACGGGGGCGACAGTGCGCGTGCCCACAGAGAGGGCTCTGAGTGCCGCCTCTGGCACCCGTGCCATAGGTTCGCCACCACTGGATTAAGCTATAAAAATAATTGGGAGGGAAGAAGCAAATTTAAAATCTGAACACTTTCCATGCCTTGTACAAGATATGTAAATTCTTCAGCTATAAAGCTAGGCAAGTTTTAAATTCTTTTATTTTATAAAAAAAGAACAATCAATGTGTTCCTGAGATATTAAGTATAGTTTTATGCCTGTCTACTGGTAAGAGTTCATATCTCACTGTTATCACTGCACAAAAATATTAGAAAAAATATATTTTAAAGAATGAAATTAGAATATAAAATGTTCCTACAAATAGGTAAGGTAGCAGTCACTTCTATTTCATTTCTAACTTATTCAAAAATATTTGTACACTACATTTGTGGGGGCTTGCAACGAAGAGAGGAAATGTTTTTGTCTGCTTCTGTCGTTGAACAATGGGACAAATGTGCCAATTTGTTTGCTTCCAGCTTCTTCTGGAGAGTAGTTAAGTTCATATGAAGCTCTGGTGGGGTTTGGCTGTAGCTTAGTGTGATATTTGAACCTAGAGATTATAATTTAATGTTAGGTATATGAACCAGGGCCCTGTGGATTATTCAAAAAAATATTTAAAAATTCCTGGTACAAACTCTGTGGGAAATTGGATAGAGAACTGAAGAATGATTATAAGGCTCTTTCATATCCCAATCTTTTTAAAATTGCATTTTAGGGATTGCGCCGCCTGTGTTGGATATGATTCAAAAGGACCATGTAGCCCCAGAACAAGTGTAAGTGCCTGAATGGAAACAGCATTCTTCTTCCCCTTGAGAACTTAGCTCTTCTATCTGTAATATAAAGAAACCCTGCTCATTGTTCTAGCCTTTTATCCTGTTTGGGGATATAGTGTTTATTTGATAATTTTTATAGTGTCTATTTGATAATTTTCTACTTGTTGAATCTTGGGTATTTTTACATGTTTTATGGACTGACACCCTTTGAGAGAAAAGCATTTTGGTAGAAATTAAAAAAAAATAGATGAAAAATATTCTTAGTTGTTTTGTTCAAATTTTGGAGCACTAGGAGGAAGATAGCATTTGGAAAATGGGAACACTTTAGTAGCATTGATTCCTGCTTGAAGTAGCCCTTTAGCAAAGAGGTAGGGAATTGCTTCTGAAAGTGTATCTGATTTAATTACATTTTCTAACAGGTTAATGGTTCAGGAGGTGCTGAAGGAGCTAGCACAGTATCATAGGTAAGTGTTGAGTATCATCATCCCAAAGTGGCATCTATTATCCCATTACATAATTATTGCCTTGTAAGTCCAGAACGGCTCCTGAAGGTGATGGAATTCTCCCGGAAAAATATAGAAAGACATTCATATTACCTTAATAGAGAGGGGTCAGCAAAAATAGGCTATTCTGGATTTTTTTTTTTTACAAACCATATTTGGCTATGTATCTTTCCTATGTTCCAAGCACTAGACTGGAAGAAAGGTATTTGAAAGTCTGTAGACTCCAGGCAGTATAGTATATAGCATTTACCGATTCTTCCTTTTAAAAATGCTGTTTATATTAATTACTCATATTTAGGAACTCCCATCTCCCTCACAGAGGGACTCTGGGAGGTATACAAATAAAGTATTAAAAGCATAAAAATAGTTTATAAAATTTAAAAGAGGCAAGGAATGTTAAAAAAAATTAATTATAAGGCGGGGGGAGGCCTTTCAGGAAGTTAAATTGCCCCATGGCTGTGTGCTCCTCTCTGCACCCCAAACAACCCTACAGAGCCATGTTTTCACACCTTTCTGGAAGGCCAGGCAAGTGGGGGCTGCCTCACCTCTGGGGAGAGAGTGTTGCACAGGGCAGGGGCAATAGCAGAAAAGGCTCTCTTTCTGGACCCCACCAGTCAGAATTAATGTCATTGTATCACAACATTAAGTGACATAAGAATAGAAAAATGGTGGCGGTTCCTATGTTATTGGATATCCTCACTGTAATTTAGATCAGCAATTTGCTGCACCAGTATTTTCCTTAACTTTTTGAGCTGCCTTTATTGTAATGCCTTATTTGTTTCCTTGCCAGTGCTAAACAGGTGTTGTACTCACCTGAAGGTAAACGTGAAACCCAGCAAAACCTGACCTGGTTTGAATTCCTGTCTAATGAGTAAGTTCCCTCTGCATCTATGCGCATAATGTTACATTTTTGTCCCCAACTCTGCTGTGATTCAACAGGAATAAAGTGCAGTGTTGAATATACAGGTAGTCCTTGACTTACAACCATCACTGAGCCTGGAATTATGGTCATAAGCCATTGTGGTCATTTTTGGATAGTTTTTGTGGCGATTATTAAGCCAACAATGCAGTCGTTAAGTGAATCCATTTTCCTTAATGGTTATTTTTTTTCTGGCAATCGGAAGTAAATGTCAGAAACCAACAAAAATATTGTAAATCATGGTCACATGATCACAGGACATTGGAAATAGTCATAAAGATGAGCTGGTTGTCAAGTGCCCCAAATGCAATTGTGAGGGGAGGGGTTGCAGCCATCATCGAGGGGGGACACGATAGCAGTGTTCCAATATCTCAGGGGCTGCCACAAAGAAGAGGGAGTCAAGCTATCCTCCAAGGCGCCTGAAGGCAGGACAAGAAGCAACGGGTGGAAACTGATCAAGGAGAGAAGCAACTTAGAACTAAGGAGAAACTTCCTGACAGTTAGAACAATTAACCAGTGGAACAACTTGCCTCCAGAAGCGGTGAATGCTCCAACACTGGAAGTTTTTAAGAAGTTTTTAAGAAGAGACTGGACAGCCATTTGTCCAAACATAGGGTTTCTTGCCTGAGCAGGGGGTTGGACTAGATAACCTCCAAGGTCCCTTCCAACTTTACTACTACTACTACTACTACTACTACTACTACTACTACTACTACTACTACTACTACTATTATTATTATTATTATTATTATTATTTCAAAAACGGGTTGTAAGTAGCTTGGGGAAGTCTGTTGCAACTTCAAATGATAGTTAAGCAGCCAGTCAGAAACCGAGGACTACTTGTACAATGATGGCGCTCATGGCAATATGGGATCCGTTCTGTATCTTTGCATTTGTTAGGCTAAGAGGATTTGGAGCCAGTTTTGTATAGTGGTTAAAATGCTGAAATAGAAATCAGGAGACCAGTCACTCTCTGTCTCAACCCAGCTCACCTCACAGGCTTGTTGTGAGGCAGGAGGAAGGAGCATCCCATATGCTCGTCATCCTGAGTTAATTATAAAGACAATAAAGGCGGGTTCTGTCAGGCTGCAGCTCTGCTGGTTGCCCACTTTATAGTTTTGGCACCAAGTAAAAGGCTTACTTTCTAAAGCCTTTTTAGGTGTTTTAGTTTTAGACTGGATGAGATATTTAGCTCTCCTTATTTATTAATTTGGTTTTCTCTGCCTGTCATTTCCATTGGTTAAAATATAGCATATTTATATTCTGTGAACTATTTTGGAAGCTTCTGGAATTGAAGACATAGAAGTTAAATGATCTAAAACAGATTTCCTATAGCTAAATTTATTTATTTCCTTCTTCTCCCCCTTCCCTACTTCAGATATGAGGAGAGTCCAAAGAATGACAAAACTGAAAAGGTGGCTAAGGTGAAGCGGCGGCTGAGCAATCTGCGCAACCGCGTCACTGGCTCATGGCAGAAGGAGAAGGTGAGAGGGCTGTATACAAGCCACTTGACTCAATGAAACATACGCTTTTATATCGGAAGTTTATAATCGAGGTATCATGAGAAAGAAGAATGGAGCAGGAATTGTGCCTCAACGGCAGAGCAGGCATTTTCTTTACAGAATGTCCGATTCAATCCCCTAACTTGTATTAGTATTAGAACAAGCAAGTAAAATAGAAAGATCTCTCTGCTCTGGCCCTAGAGGGAAAAATACAAATATTCTAAAACAGTGGTTCCCAACCTGTGGGTCGGGACCCCATTTGGGGTCGATCGACCATTTCACGGGGGTCGCCAAGAAGGGCTGTCCACCATTTTTTTTGTCCGCCATTTTTTCCCCCTTTTCCGGCGGGTGCCTTACCTCCCTTGGGCTGGGCCAGCTGGTGGTTGGCCTGCTCCGTCTCTGCCGCTTGCCAGCTATGCCTCGGCCGGCGCAGGGGGCGGAACCACGCATGCGCGGCGCTCCCGGGCAGGGAAAGTCCTTGACTTACGACCGGTTGGGTAGTCCTCGACTTACGACCGGTTTAGTCCTCGACTTACGACTGGTTTAGTCCTCGACTTACGACCGGTTTAGTCCTCGACTTACGACCGGTTGGGGTCGCGGCATTAAAAAGGTTGAGAACCACTGTTCTAAAAGAAGCAAAATAGTATTCCAAGAACTGAATTGGAAAGGAATAAGTGAATGGGCGTTTGAGGGCATTTAGTTGTACAAAATCTTGACATTATGGCATTTTCTATTTTCTTAGGGTAAGAATAAAGATCGGGAGAAAGAGGCTATGGAGTCAAAGGAACGAACACAGGCACTGCATGGGCATGAACTAGCACTAGGCGCCTTCTCTAATGGCACCTGTTGTTCTCTCTGTGGCAAAATCCTGCTGAACAAAACAGGGCTACAGTGCCTGAGTGAGTAGCTCCCTCCTGGGTCGCAGTGTGAGTCTGTCTGTCTCCTGGCCAGCTTGGTTTTACATTCTCCACTATGAGAGTTTATGAGTTCTGCTTTCTTCCTCCTCCACTGCATTATCTCAGATGTCATCCCATCTCTGTACACGCAGTCCTCAACTTACTACCGTAATTGAGCCCAACATTTCTGTTATTGAGATGTTTGTTAAGTGAGTTTTGCCCCATTTTACAACCTTGCTGGCCACAATTGTTAAGTAATCGCTGTGGTTGATAAGTTAGTAACCTGGTTGTTAAGGGAATCTGGCTTCCCTGTTGATTTTGCTTGTCAGAAGGTCGCAAAAGGGATTCACATGACATTGGGACATAAGTATGAACCAGTTGCTAAGCATCTGAATTTTGATCAGATGATCATGAGGAGGCTTCAAAGGTCATAACTGTGAAAAACGGCCATAAGTCATTTTTTTGTGTCACTGTAATTTTGAATGGTCACTAAATGAGTTGTTGTAAATTGAGGACTACCTGTACTTAAGGTAGCCACTTCCTATTCTGACATTGCTTTGCACTGAAAGTGTTTTTAGTATTTAGTTCAAAGTTTTTGGTTATGTGCATGCATATGCTTTGTTCGTCTGCAGGAAAACTTGTACTATATTCATTAACTTTTGGCCTGTTGACTAAATTTTGGTAAATGCAGATGACACCAAACTGGCAGGAATAGCCAACACCCCGAAGACAAGCTCAGGATCCAAAAAGATCTTGACAAACTTGAACAATGTGCCCAATCCAACAAAATGAGTTTTTATGTGGAGAAAAGCAAAGTTTTACATTTAGGCATAAAAAAAACCAAAGGTTTAAGTACAGATTAGGCGAGACCTGGCTCAAAAACAGCAACTGTGAGGGGGACCTTGGAGTCCTAGTGGACGATCACATGACTATGAGTCAGCAGTGTGCAGCAGCAGCCAAAAAAGCTAATACAATCCTGGGTTGTATAAACAGAGGAATAGAATCAAGATCACATATGAAGAACAGCTGCAGGACTTGGGTTTGGCTAGTCTAAAGAAAAGAAGAAATAGTGATGATATGATAGCAGCATTCCAGTATTTCAGGGACTGCCACAAAGAAGAGGGGGTCAAACTATTCTCCAAAGCACCAGAGGGCAGGACAAGAAACAATGGTTGGAAACAGATCAAGGAGAGAAGCAACCTGGAATTAAGGAGAAACTTCCTAACAGTGAGGACAATTAACCAGTGGAACAGCTTGCCTTCAGAAATCGTGGACACTCCATCACTGGAGATTTTTAAGAAGAGACTGGACAATCACTTGTCTGAAATGGTATAGGTTCTCCTGCTTGAGCAGGGGGCTGGACTAGAAGACCTCCAAAGTCCCTTCCAGTTCTATTCTGTTCTCTAAATACCTTTTCTATATATAAACTATGCTTCAGTCCTAACTGGGAGGTACCATTGAACATATTCTGAATGGTTGATTATCTGATACAAATCACTATTTAAATACAATTCTACTGCAGGCAAAACATAACAACTAGTAAAACTTCCTGAATTTATTTTAAATAACGTTCTAGTCAGCTACAATAATACATTTCCCTTTTAATTTTGCTTTGTTTTCTGTTTGGGCTACAAATAATGTAAGCAAGAAAGTTAAAAGATAATAATCACACATAAAATTGCATGCAAATCCAATCTTGAGAAATACTTTCTGCATGAAAATCAGACTGCAAGATCATTAACTATGATTAATAAAAACAATAGATTAATATGGTAACCATGAGGCAGTACTCTTAGTGAATTAGAATAGCATACTGCAGTTACAATAGTATAATTGCCTCAGTTACATGAAGCAACGGAAACTATTAAGTCATTTTAAAGATTATCAAGTTTTGATGGAAATTGTGCTTGTATTATTAGACATGCATATTATCGTCTTCAGTTAGGCCCAGTGTTTCTCAACCTTGACAATTTTAAGGCATGTGGACTTCAACTCCCAGAATTCCACAGCCAGCATTGCTGGCTGTGGAATTCTGGGAGTTGAAGTCCACATGCCTTAAAATTGTCAAGGTTGAGAAACACTTGACTGTTAGGCAAAGTAAATAAATAATGGTTTATTGCACAGGCAGCCCCAAAACCACAATTTTACATCTATATTTTTACACATTACTTGTTTTACTTTTTTATGGTACTACTCCTTATATTAACTTTAAATGTCCTCCTTTCTTTAAATTCCCTCCTTTGGAGCAAAGCCTCTCATTAGACCCCCATAAAGCCATTAAACCCTTTCCCTGTCCTCTTGGACAAGCTGCATGTCATGCTTTGCTCCCCGAAAATCTCACGTGATAGAAACTTGGGAGAGCTAAAAAAAGATCTGAAAAGAGAAATTAAACCACATGTACATTTATTTCGTTTTCTTCGCTATCAAAAAAACAGCAACCCCCACCATGGAAAAATAGCTTTCCTCTTCTAAAGGTGCCCGACTTAAAAAAAAAACCTAATGACCGGTAGATATTTAAAAATCCTTGAAATAAATGTTTAGATTTTTATGATAAATGACATAGCCTCAGCCACAAGAGGGGAGAAAAAAACCCACAAGACTAAGCAGACGCGGTTTCCAGGGCAACCAGCTTTTAGACGAGACGGGTAGGGAATCGATATCTCGCGGGATCTTGAAGTTCCGCGAGAGGTCGATCTCAAGAGACTCTGGATTTGGAGTTCGCCTGAAGGAGCGAAGCTGGGAGTTGAGCCAGAAGGGCGGGGAGTTTAAAAAGCCTCGAATCGTTTTTAGAAAGCCTCGCTTGAGATCTCGCGATATCTTTTAGGCTGAGGCGGAGCCGGCAGGTGACTTTAATACCTTTACGTCGCGGGAGTGGCGTTCTCACGCCGCCTGAGGTGTCCCGTAAGGCTGCTCTTGTTGTTCCATCCCGGCAACAGCCTTCCCGCCCTCACTCGCCCCTCGAACCGCCAGGGCTGCGCACGCGACGGAGTCGAGTGGAGAATTGGAATCCCGCGGGCTTTAGCAGGTCTCGCGATATGCTTGGCTGATTCTACGGGGGCGGGGCCAAAGAGGAAGTGTCTCAGTGAGGAGGCGAGGCCGGGTTGGGCCTCTTTGGGGGGTAGGAGAAGGACGCACATCTGTCGCTGAGGACAACGGTCTTACAGGGTAGGCTGGTCCCGAGAGAAGACGAGGCGTCATTTGATGACGTCAGAGGTCAGTATTAGCCACACTGAACCCCACTCAGCTATTTGGGTGGAGGGAGGCTTCTCGTGGAAACCTTGGGAACCTCACACTTCTTTATAACTGGAAATGTATATGCTTTTTGCTTTCCTTTCACCGCTCAAGTTCTTAATCTTCGTGGATCTGTTGCTCTTCGTTTTAACTTTTCTTTATGGAAATAATGGAGGAATTGATGCATATGATGTAGATGAATAAATCAGGTTGTCATTCGGAAGACTTTGTGCATGCCCAGTAATGGTTGCTGGACTTCTTTGAAAACAATGTCTTGAGCCACGAAGAATAGACTAAACCAAGAGGCTATAGTTTCTGCAAGTAGATTGGCATTTCCATTTTAAAAAACCTCTGATATTTAAATTAATGAAGGGTTCAAGAGAATTCCCTCCTGTTGCAGTATTAGAGAGAAATTGGCCCAATGGATAAGCAGTCTTATTTGATATAAGGTGCCTTTATTTATTCCCTGCAGGCAGCCGTTGTTAAGTGATGGAGTACTTCTTTTTTCATCCATCCAGAATACCTTAAAGAGATCTTCGGGTTTAAAAAAAATGGAAATTATCTTCTCTTAGTGTCACTGAGAAGATACTGATCCCTTTCTAACATTTTATGGCTATTAAATTCATTATCTGACTTGTATAACTAAATAGGTTGGCTCTGTAACTTCCCAGAGAGTCAGTATAATTGGTATGACAGTGGGACTCAACAGTCTGATTCAGCATAGGGAAGATTTACGTACTATATTTAGGAGAATTGTCACATTCAGTCATCTTGCATCTCCAGTTAAACAGCAAATGGGATTGGTCAGTAGTGTTTTAAAATAGTTGTAAATTACAGGTTGTTGTATGAGCCTTTTACAAGAAAATCCAAAAGCACCAGCAGGATATTCCCCCCCCCCATATTATTACTGTCAGTGAAAAGATCACAGCATGAGCCATTTTTTAAAGTCTGTTGAAATATTCCTTCATTCTAAAGATGACTGAATAGAATGGAAAAGAAATCACTATAGATGTGGAATTTTAGAAAAAGGCAACTGTACCAATAGAAGAGAGTATATATAACTCAGGGCTGAAGTGTGGTGTTCTCTGAGCTAGTAACATCCTGTGCTAGAAAGGAATGGGGTTTGCTCTATAGTAGCTTGCCTTGTCAGTGTTGCTGACAGGGTTGTTTCTGATAGCTATTTCTGGCCAGCATTAAATGTTCTTTCAAGATTTTGTTGACTACCATTTTTAATGACTTCTTAAATGTAGTGGTTTTCTAAACATTTTATTACAATTTTTTATAAATGTTCAAATTTGATTGCTCATATGTTGCCATGATGGTTTTAGCAGAAGGGCAGTATTAAAATTGTGACAATAATAATAAACTGAAAAGGAAACGTGTTGCTTTTGGTAGGTTGGCCCAGCAATTCTATCCTACAGTTAAATGGAATGATGTGTGTTAGTGGACACGTAGCTCTTACAGTAGTGCAAAGCTGAACAGATTGCATAAATTCTCAGCCTGCGAGGAGATGAAAAGATTCCACTGAGAAAATCTTCAAAAGGTGCACAAACACCCGTAGCCAGAACATTCATCGTTGTGCTGCCAACAACCTTTAGTCTGTGGCTATACTGTTATTGTATGTGTACGCAAAGCCAGTGGCAATTAGGTTCATACTTTTTTGCAGTGACAGCATTCAGTGACACCTGAATACCTCAAGATATTTGCCAATCATCTGATATTTTTGAAAACAGGTTTTCTGATTTTCTTATGGAAATTATAATATTTGGAAA